ATTGTCACATTGTCACCTGGGCTAAGGGCCCTGTTTCGCTTTGCACCCGTCTTTGCTTTAGTAGCAAAAACTGCGCACCTTGTTTTCTTTAAATAAATGGCATCCTAAATTCCTGGAACCTGGGGACGTTTGCAGGTCCGGGTCCCCTTAGGCTGTGGGTCAGGAACACAGTTAAATCTAGAGACCCTGTCTGGCCCGGCGTCCCAAACAGACCAGCTCGGGAGTGTCCCAAGGGCTCTGACACCACCAGAAGGTTCCCGTGAATGTGGTTGGTGTGCCTTGAAGCGATGATCGCCAGTTATACTAGAACTAAGCGGGGATGCAGGGCCGGACGCAGGCGACATCACCTTCTTGTCTTCCTGCAGATGTTTGCAGCCCTCCCCTCCGATTTCCCGAGCCAAGGTTTCAGAGTCGCTTCGAACCTTATAAAATGGACCCATTTGGGGGGATGTTTCTTCAATTTATTTTGAGAAAGAGAAAGCCTGCAGCGGGGAGGGGGCGTGTGGTTTAGGGGGTGCTCTCTCTCAAGCTTTGTATCTAATTGGTGAGTAATGTCGCTGCTTCCGCCCCAGCAGCCCCCACTTCCTTGCCCTTCTCGTTGCCTGTCCTACGAGCCTACATCTTTGTCACCTGAACAACTGGGCCCCCCGCCTGCCCCGGTACCGTTCCCTTTCAGATCAGCCCCTCAGCACATGGTAAGTCGTCCTCCCCGAGTGCAGACCTGAGCATGTCACTGCCCCGACCGCACATAACCCTCTAGGACGTATCCAGACCAGGCAAACCCGCAGAGACAGAAAGCAGGTCAGTGGGTGCCAGGCACGGGCAGGGAGAGGGCAGTGGGGAGTGATGGCCCCTGGGGATGGGGCTTCCTCTGAAATGATGAAAACACCCTGCATCTAGGTAGTGTGATGGTTGCACAGCATCGAATGCACCGAATGCTACTGGACTGTTCACTGTAAAATGGTTAGAACGATCATTTTACGTTTTGTGTATTTTAATACATGCAAATCCTGCAGGATAAGGTCCACACATCTCAGCAGCATGTCACTTGAGGTTTACCTTGTTTACCCTCCCTGTGTTTTCCCTCTATACCTTCATAAATGGAACCATTTGCAGGTTAAGGCACAGGCACGTGCCATGAATCCCATGCCCCGCGGCTCGTGCACGCACAGTGTCCTCTGTCTGCGATGCTTCCCTCCCCCCACCCACCCTCCACGATCTGTCCAGTGATCTGTCCTCCAAGAGCCCCGTGCAGTCCCCCGACACCCCCGCATACACACACCCCTAGGAATTCCCCCTACATTGTATTTTGCCCTCTAAAGAGGCACGACTGGGAAGCCTTTACTGCCAGGACCGTGTTTCCAGTTCCAGGCAGAACTGTACAATTCTCTAAAACACAGAGTGAATCGAGGCTTTGACGTGTTTTATGGGGCCCTTTTAAAATTCATGACACGTTCGTGACCCCCAGAACATCTGGAACACTTGAGTCCATCGGCTTCGGCCTAGTGTGGAAACAGCGCAGAGACAGTCTCTGGTGATGAGGCCATTTCTGCCCAGGGAGCCTTGAGACGAATCGTGTCGCATTTGAATAGGTAATCACAGCCCTGTCACAGCCTGCTGCACACCTTGAGAACTGCGGAGTGGCCTGCGGCCTTGACTTGGGAGCGGGAGCGGTGTGGCTGTAAACAGCAGAGGGGTTTGTTTTGCAGCTCTCGTAGATCTGTGAGGTTAACATCAGCAAAATGCTGTCCGTGAATCGGCTGGGGAATATCCTTTGAGAATTTGTGGCAAGTGAAAAAGACTTTGTTCCCAAATGAGCTTTCCTTTCCCATCTTAATAACACCAATTTTTTTTGGTTAATCTTCACCCGAGGGTGTATTTTTTTCCATTGCTTTTTCAGAGAGAGTGGAAGGGGGAGAGAGAGAAACATCGATGTGAGAGAGACACATCGATTGGTTGCCTCCAGCACACGCCCCATGCGGGGCCGGGGATCGAACCTGCAACCCAGGTACGTGCCCTTGCCCCTGCCCTTGAACCTGGGACCCTTCAGTGCCTGGGCCAACCTTCTAACCACTGAGCCACGCCGGCCAGGGCAACACCATTTTTGATGGCATTTGTCATTACATATGGCAGCTGACAATGGACCAGGGCCAGGCAGGTCACAGAGAATCAGAATTATAACACCCAGCCGTGTCGTCTCTTCTTGATCACGTGATTATCATGGATATAGAAGGCAGGCGTGTGTGTGCGTGTGTGTGTGTGTGTAAAATCCAGGAAAGCAGGCGATCAGGAAGAAATCCACTAAGGTGAGGTCATGAGTAGGAGTTAAACACATTTCTACTTGTAGTTTCTCTCCAAGTCAACCGAGAATTGCCTGATTTGCCGCAGGGTAGAAAAAGTTCTAATCAGGAGTCCTCACAGTTGTGCCTGGACCACAGCATCAGCATTACCTTAGAACTGTTAGAGATGCAAATTCTTGCACCCCCCCCCCCC